ATGCTTCGGGGAAATGTATCGGAGTAAAAGTATACATTTTAATTAGGAAATGTAGGGGAGTAAAAGTAAAAGTTGGCTGAAATATAAAAACTCAAGTAAAGTACAGATACTCCCAAAAAATACTTAAGTACTGTAACGAAGTATTATTACTTCGTTACATTACACCACTGGTATTTAGCCTATGTGTTTTTAAAGTCCCCCTGTGGTCAAATATTTTATCCCTTAAAACTTCTCTTTGATCATCAAAATGACTTGGTTATTGGATTGTGACGTAGCAAACCGAGGGCTGTTTCAAACCGCATTTCTGGGACTGCCATTGGGAAACTACAGTTTTAAGGAGAAAATACACAGCAATGGTGTTGATTAATGGATTGGCACATGGTTTGTCTAAAAGCATATTAAAAACACCACATAGACAAATAAACAACATAAAAAACTTGATTTTCACTACAGGGGGACTTTAACCTAAATCACTGCATCATCCATCTGTGAAGGACTTATGATGACAACATACACAACTGTTAGCCAATCATAGCAGTGGGCGTTTACTTCCGAGTCTACAATCCATCACGCCTATTCAAACAGAGCGTTCTGATGAGGGTGATTAAAAACAGGACAGATAATAGCCTATTACTTACAAATTATGTTTTTTGATCTTGATAACATTATAAGCAGACCTTAGAGAACAGTACAAAATAAAAAAAAACAAAGGCAGTTCATGACCCCTTTAAATACATGAACAAATGAGTTGATAATGAGATGATTGATAGTGCACAGCTGAAAAAGTGAGAGAAATGGTGCTGACTGAAAACAAAGGTCCATGACGAGTGAAAGTGTGAAAGAACGTCCCCTCCCGGAAGGCGTGTTCTTGTGCTGTGAAGAAAAGGAGGCAAGGAGGATGAGATTGGCGCAGGGATGGTGAACAGGAGCAGGCGAATGGTGAAAGGGGCTTGCAAAGGGATTGCACACACAAGCAGAGAGATGCAGGAGGAGGATCTGGAGGAGGACGGACGACCAGGAGGAGGCAGAACCAAGAAATCCAGGATGGTGATGATGGAAGTGAACAGCCTTGAGCAGAAGATGGTGGCAGCTGATCCAGCTCACAGCCAAGACTGTGCCCCATGGATGACTGGAGGCGATGGCGACGTTGGAGATAGAGCCCACCGCGCAGACAAAGAGCCAAAGTAGTGAAGTGACACCGAAGACCCTGGCGGCCACGACTGAGCCGTAGCGATGACCCTGGAAACTGCTGGAGTAGAGGGAGGAAGGAGAACAGGTGTGGAAGCCAAGGGCTCCTCACACCCAGGAGGAGGTGGCTCCCAGCAGTCCAGAGGTGTAGCCACACCACTGAGAAGACGCACTAAGGGTATAATGGGAGGTGACGATGACTGGATGGCAGGAATGGCTGGGGAATGGACTAGAGACTGCAGGGACAAACACAGCCATATCACTCTGCAGCCCAAGACTGGTTGCCCACTGAAGCTAAGCAGGGTTGAGCCTGGTGAGTACCTGGATGGGAGACCTTCTGGGAAAACTAGGTTGGTGTTGTGGTCTGGTTGGGTCCTAATGCCCCATTATATTGACGGGGACACTATGCTGTCAAAAAGCACCGTCTTTCGGATGAGACGTTAAACCGAGGTCCTGACTCTCTGTGGTCATTAAAAATCCCATGGCACTTCTCTTAAAGAGTAGGGGTGTAATCCCGGTGTCCTAGCCAAATTGATGCCACTGACTCTTGTCAATCATGGCCTACTAATAATCCACTGAATTGGTTCTATCACTCTCTCTCCTCTCCACCTGTAGCTGGTGTGTGGTGAGTGCACTGGCGCCGTTGTACTGTGGCTGCCGTCACATCATCCAGGTTGAAGCTGCACACTGGTGGTGGTTGAGGAGAGGTTATCTATTCTAGGTCGGGTCTTCTCTCATGCTCGGGTGGAATAAACAAACTTCAAACTAATAGGCAGTCTTTAATAATCCGAAGAGAGTAAATCCAACAGAGAAGTAAGCACCACAACACATAGTAGATATGAGACCCGACAAACAAGAACTGAAACTGTGGAACTTAAATACACAAACAAATGAGGTGCTAGTGCACAGCTGAAACTAATGAGTGTCTATAATAAACAAACTAAGGGAAACGGTGCTGACTGAAAAGTCCATGTGGAGTGAAAGTGTGACAGGCAGCAGGTTCTTACAGTTTTTATAGTAGAAACAGGGTGTAACTGGGTCCGGATTCATACAGCTGAAGTTCCTTCTGTTGAGCCGTACAGCCTCCAGCAGAGTGGTACTGGCATCAAACACCAATCGGTTACCAGGAGGGCAACCAATATAGACAGGTAAATTCTGCAGACCCTAAGAGAGAGAGAACATGACAAAATGAGCCTCAAAGAGTGAGAAAGGGAGAGGAGAACAACAGAGTAAAAGAGTAAAGATGTATGAGCATTACACTGAGAACCATCCCATGGTCAGTCTGCTGAAAACACTGTCTTGGTGAAATGCCAATCTGAAAATTAACAAATAAACACAAACCATACAAATACATCTGCAATATCAAATCTGATTGCCAATCATTCATTTTTGCATTGTTTTAATCAGTAAATTTTCTTCAGTGATATTTTAACACTGACCCTAAACAACACGCTGAAAGGCAAAAGTTTCTCTCCTGGAAACACCTGACCTTCAACCATGCCTTTGTCAGTCACCGTCACCTAGATAACAGAGCAGAAGATCTGAGTAACAGATGAACAAACACTCAGGAAATATATTAACAGTACAAACTGATGTAGCTAGGTGTTTATGTGGGGTAGGGTAAAGTGCCTTATAAAGGACTCCTCCATAATTCAATTTCACGTATCTCTGGAGAGTCACCCTCAGATATTTAGAATTAGGGACCGTCGCAAACATTCTGATGTCATTTACAGCACGCTCTCCTGGAACAAAACACATATTATTAGCAGGCCAGTGAATACATAAAACTAATAATAATCACCTTTTTTGTACTTCATTATTTCAAATTTTGAAAAATACAGTTTAGTGTTAGCACATACAAACAGCAAACCCAGTCTTACAGTGACTTTGTATAGGTATAATAATGTTATCACCAAAAGCAAAGGAAGCAAAATAGTGTTCCTGCATAAGTTGACAAGCTGATGTTCACAGCATTCTGCTTCTCATATATCGGCACAATTGTGAATGCATAAAATGAGTTACAGGCAGAAAACAACTCAAACTGACTGTCTAAACAAAATTTTTTAATTTAATTACAAATGTACAAAAAAATCATTCAGCATTAGATTAAAGGCAGGGTATGTGATTTTTCAATCCGTAGACACGGTGTAACATTGGTTTTGCTTTGTTTCACAGAACTAATCGTTGCCTGGGTTGCGTACGTATATGTGGGGCGGAGCTATCAAAATAGGGGCAAGACCCTTTTGGGGTAGGGGCGTGTTTGTTTTGGTGATTTCAAATATCAACATTGGCTACCAGAAATCACTTACTCTGCCTTTAAGTGTATATGTCAATTCCTAACCGATGGACTCTAGAGTGAGCTGATGGGCTCTTATGAACAGAGAGAATGAGAATGAGGCTGTTCTGTCCAGGTAAACTCTATCTGGAAGTCTGGCCGTTATGTGTCCTTTGCTGTCTGTGGTAACACCTGACACATTATTATATGACGGGTACAAGCAAAAGTCCTAAAACACAGCAAGAACACACATGGTAAAATGACACTTCTATTAGCTTTGCCACCAAAAATACTCAAGACAATTGCCGGAAAGATATAACTTGCATCTGAACTCTTCATACATATATTTTTGTTTACATTTTTAAACTGTATAATGGCAAACTGTTTATTTGCAATAGAATTAAAAAGAGAAATCTGTCACCTTATAGAGCACACCACTGCACATGTGTGAGATGGGGTTCTCTTTAGGATCTCCAATGACCTAAAAGAGGAAGGAGTGATATAAAACTCAACTACAATGTAACTACATAAGGTCAGCATATGTATATGAAGATTTGTCTTTTAAAATCTTCTCTGCAGCAGAAAGTGAGGTCCACAGGAGAATGTTAAAATATAAGTCATTATTTTGAAATGAGCACCAGCCTGACAGGCAGTACATCTACAATGACAATTTATATAAATACAGTATATAAATATATGCCCGATTTATAGTGACTGGACATGGTATAATACCATGAGGTATTGTGCATGCAACTGCAGCAGGTGGTAGACGAGGCCCTGGTACAGAGCCAATGAACGTGTGGTGTGTAATTCAGAGTAGGACGTCACTAGTTGGGGGTTGACTGAGTACCGCTGCAATCGGTTAAAGCTCTCTATATGAGGGACACTGTACTCTAGGTCAAAGGGACATGTGGACAGGAATGGCAGATGACTAAATGACCTATGTGGGAAAGAGAGAGAGATGCATCAGATGAATAGGTTAGAAAATAAAAATAAAAAATTACAATATTATTCAAAACAAACACAAAAAAACAAATGCACATTCACTCAAAAACAAGTTATACAAAATGACTGTCATACAAAATCTCGACCACTGGGATTTTCCTCTTCACAACAGAACCTTTCCCATCCAAGTCTACTGTGTACAGCACCTGCACACACATACAGACAAACACGCATACATAAATGTATGTATGTGTCTATGAATGTATGTCATAGTGTTATTATTCATTAACTTTTTTCATATTGTAGCCCAGTTCCAGGGGGTATTTGCTGTTTGTGAGTGTGCTTGCGCACACCTCTTGTAACTCTTTATCTCCATCAAAAAACACTGTGAGTGTGCTGTGATCACCAGAAAGAGCTTGCAGATGGGACAACTCATTCCAGCCCTGAGATGGCCGCAAACGAAACACAGAATCTGTTCTTTCTTGACCCCACCACAGCTTCAGGGAGAAACACAAGAAAAGAAAATTTGTCATTAAGAACTTGTTTTTTGCTTTTGTTTCTTGATATGAATAGATAGATTCTTGTTTTAAATTCATATAATAATATACACACCTCCTCCTGTTCAGTAACAAAGACAAATGTTCCATCATAAGAAAGAGTGAAATATTTTATCATCTGGTCACTAGGAAATCCGCTGTCGTGCCAAAAACTCTGCCCATCCTCCCAACTGAACAAACACACACAAAAACATGTTAACATAATTATGTAAATGCATGTTTCAGTGTTAATGCACATGTGTGCACATACGTAAGAATATAAGAGAAGATGAGTGAGTTTCCCCAGATGTATAGAATTCCAGTGCTGGGGTTAAGTGTCATTCCATTGAATTTCAGGTTCAAAGAACTTCTCTCTTGGTGCCCTGTTACACACACATAAATACAGTAAACACATTTTATTATTATGATAAAATACCTGCAAAACATACATACAGTCTAATTTGAACACACACACAAACACAAAACAAATTCACATCACTGAATCTACACATGCACGCTAGGTCACAGACACATAAAAATGTGTATGTGCTTACGTTGCCTCTGACTATAAACGATGAACTCAGGTAAAATCTCACTCATCTGGAAATGACCATCTGTGAGGAAACAAAACAAATCAAATCAATTCCTGAATGCGACAGATTTGTGAACAGAGTTCTCAATAATAGGGTAAGGTGCCTTCCTTAAAAACAACGTGCAAAATCACAGAATCCATTAATAAAAATGGAGTTTACTGTATAATGTGGAATGTCACAGACAATGTCACATTGAGCAGTATGTAAGAACTCTCTCAATCTTGATGGGAAAGCAGTTCTACTAGTATGATGTCAGTTACATTTGTCAAATTGTGGATGAATAAATTTAAAGTAGGTCAGTACAGTTAAATCAAGTCGCAATATGGACTAGTGTCATTAACAAATCCCTCATTAACAAATAGACAAAAAAAACTTTGAAATTCAACGTTACACTGTCATCAGCATCACAAAAATCAGATCAATTAACTTCAAAACTTTTTCAACTGACTAAATCTTACAAATGTTGATGTTCAGAAGAAATGACAAAATTAAGAAGAGTGAAGCCATTCATCAAATGTGTCGAGATGAGATTTTGTGCCATTTATGATTGAAAGAAAAACTGAGGTGGAGGCGGTCATCTTGCACCAGGGGCCATCTTTCACTGTTACCGTACTGTGCTTAAGTAATGGCATTTTGGGATGTTTAAGGCTAAGAAAACTGCATAGATGTTGATGTTCATCAAAAGCTCACCAAAGAAGTAAAATCATTAGGCTACCAACTCCCGTTTGTATGTAATGTACAGCAGTGTGTTACCGAACGTGAGCAGTATGTAAGAACGCTCTTGATCTTCATGGAAAAGCAGCTCTACTAGTATGATGTCAGTTACATCGGTCTGGGCATTCTGGGCCGCTGAGCACACCTGGCAACTGGGGTCTGGAGAAGAAGACCACATCAGTATAATTACATCCTTATAATTAAATAGTTAACACATCAGGAATTGGCCTCATCTGATCTATATGAAAATCAATCAAGCAGAAAAAAAAAAAGTAATGTAGAGATTTAGGTTGGTGCATTCCATAACAATACACTCACTGTTCGCAGTGCTTCTTTTAAGGTTTTTTTCAAATGTCACAATCTCGCATGCGGTGAAGCCAATAGAATCCACCAACTCTGTAAATGTAACATCACCATCTAGTGGAGAAAATTAGATAGCTTATGAATGCAGGCAGGATGATGTATATCATTTGATATCTTGCCTAATCAAAATTATATTGGAGGGAAAGAGTTGTATCAGAGAGAATGAAGTAGTTCAGTATCTGACCGTAAACCTCTGCACGGTACAGGGTTCCATTCTGCAAGCCTCCCCCCAGAACATAGAAGTACTCTCTACCATGATGAGGAATACTCACTGGTACCAAACCAGACACACAGACTGCACTTAATACCTTTTCCCATGCATCTATGAAAAAGAGATGTTTTAGAGTCATTGAAGACATGACAACAAAATTACCCTTTTAAAAAATATCCCTTATGTTATTGTGCATCACCTCCATTATTCTAAAAGAATACAAATATTTTCAGACTATTTCATTAAATATGTAATAATCAGATTATTCTACTATACAATAAAATCAAAAATCATAAAGAAAACAAGAGCCTATACTCTTAACAATATACAAAATCCCACTACATTATTTGCAATTGAATACTCAGTTTTTGCTCTGAAATGCATCATGCTACAGAACATAAATGCTATTATTGAATGCCACAATTAGCAATTTGATTCTCTTTTTTTCCTCTATTGTGACGTATATACACATGAAACAGCTTCTCGAAGGAGAAAAAATGTAGGTCAGGACTTGATTTTGTCCAACTGGAATTGAATATTGTTTGCAATTAGAAAAATTGGGCTGTGCACGTTCAGTGACACGTGTGCTGTTCTGATGATGAAATTTGTGTCACACACACTGTACACATACCCCAGCATATGTGCAAAAACCGAAGTACCTTTTGGGCATAATTGCTGAGATCTCATGTGAGTTGACAGGTTGCTGGAGGGTAGGGATAATTGCCCAGCCCAGAGGTTTATGTTTTTGATTAAAGATTATGAACATGAAAAAATAATTATGTACAAGGATAACTAATTTATAACAAACACAGTAAAAAAACTGTCTAAGTTTTGCATTCACACAGAATAAAATACTGCACTTAAATGTGTGAATAAGAAAAGAAGGCTTTTATCATTCTTTTCCATTCAACCGCCATTAAAAGCTTAAAATCTGGTCTTTGCTGAACTCTCATAAGAGTATATACAGATTTATACATAGAAATATATTACAAGTGCTCTAAAATGATTAAAAAGATGTAGAACACCCACATAAATTCTGTTGTACCTGATGGTGGCACTCTGAGGGGAAGAAGAGAATACTTTCCTAGGAAACGGTAAAGCTCTTGATTGTGTATGACAAATAGTGAGCTCTCTGTAGATAAAGTTTCTTGAATCATAGAAGACTCCACCTGTAGACACTCCCAAGAGCCTGATGAGCTCTTTATACTCACCTATACATGCACATTTAAATTAATTCAAAGATTGGCACTGGCTTTATATACAAATGTCATGGATGCAGTGGCAGTTTATGGACCACCTCTATGAGGGATGTATGCTGGAACTCAGTAGCAGTCATGAGCACAGCTGTCAAGCCTGGTATTCCTGGCAACAAGAGAACAGGAGCATGGTCCACTACAGACCAGAGTGGACGGGATGGACTACCAACTCTCAGCACATCTTCTACAGCCCGTATCTATTCACAAATAAACACCACATGCAAATAAATGAGGGCAAAACTTTATTAAAATTCTTCAAATCATATTTTTCATTATATCACTTGCTCTTGATATTGTAAACGACATCCACTTAAACAGGTCATTGTGATTGTAAAGTATCTGGCACTGTACATCTGCTCTTTGACCTCACCTCAGTGCCAAACGATGCTTCAGTCTCTCCCTTCTCTGTAGTTACCATGTAGCCATTCACATTTAGGGCAAAACTGCCCGCAGGTTTCACCATCACAGAATCAGACTCAGGTTATTATATGTAGACAATTAATGTATGAAATCAAACAGATATATGTAAATATACACCCACCTTTTCTCAGGCAGATGCTGAGAACACATTTCAATGGATTTTACCTTCACCCGTTGCACCACTGACCCATTGATGATGGGCATTGGGGCGTACCAGCTAAACTCGCACATCTCACTTCCACAGGTAGCTAAACAAACACACACCAGCAAAACCACCAACACAAATAAATGTCTTTATATTCACAACCATTACTAAGCGCTGAAATGTTACACACACACACCATTGTCTGATAGTGAAGCAACTGACAGCTCCACCTCAAGTCTCTGCGGTTTGAAGTGAGTGGGGTGTGTGGGCTCTTGGAACGTAACAGCTGCTTTTGGAGTCATTGAGTCCTCTAGCACGGCTCTGCCTGAAGACTCCTGAGACACCCAATAAACGTAACAATAGTAATATACACTGCTGCACATCAGGTTTGGATAATTGAAAAAAAAAAACAGTCTTGAAAAACAGTCCTATCCATCTAATTTTTGTATTTTAACTTATTTTTCTTGCTTGATGTGTGCTTCTAACTTTTGCCTTTCATTCCTACAGATACCTAACAGTTCCAAAAAGATCTACAAGTGCTATCTATTTCAAAAAGTCGTTATATCAGACCTCTAAATAGGAGTGGATTTTACTACCTTAAAGCCACACAGCAGGTCTAGCTTCAGGTAATATGGAAATCCCATCTGTGAGGCACAACAGAATATTATGAAACTTAATGCATACACAACATTCACTACACAATGAATACATATTAAAATTAAGATTTATTTTATGTTAATTGACATACTATATCTTTTGGATAATATCAAGAGTGTGAGCTTACATTTTTCTGCATTTCCATAGGGTCCAGATCTTGCATACCCATGCCACCAGTCCCGAGACTGCACATTCCGGTGGAAACAGGTTCGGTTTTACACAGCCTCACGTCCCACTCACACTCTCCAGCACGAGATGGTGTAAAACCAAGCACTGATAGTGCTAGCAGCACAATCACAATCAAAGCCATTTCTGAAACAGACAGGAATTGATTTAAGAGTGAATTGAGTCCTGAAATATAGATCAATACCAGCCTTACGGCTGACAGAAGAACTCTATTAAGACATTGCTAATCTTGCTTCATGACACATAGCTTAAAATGCTGTGAATGTGTCTGAAAGTAAAAAAAACTTATTAACACAGCTAAAACGAAGTGATCCTAGTGCAGTTGAAACAAACAAAAGGAATGAAAAAGAAGAAAAATCACTGATCACTGTTGGCTGTTTTCGACATATCAGTTCACAGTAATTGCAACATAGTAAGTTCAACGTAAATAATTATTTGATATTTATGTCAGGCTTTATTCATAACCGCCAATTTTACAGAGAAAGCGTTAAAAGATAAACGTTTCAATGCAAAAATGTGGATGCTTCTCACGCTGGCAGCCAAGCCTGTGTGACAACGCGCTACTTTTCATACTAAGTAAAGATTTGAAAATAACGTTTTTAGTATCGAAAACTGTACTCAGCGAGTGTAACGTAAATGTCAATCAAACGGTCCACCATATAAGACTCATCTGCAATGAGATTTGGTATGAATATGTAGCTTAAACGACATAAATCTTTGTTTACGTTACTATTTAAGACTTAAAGCCTTTGAAACAAAGACATTTAACGTTCCTGTTTACAACGGTATTTTTGGTAACGTTATTCGGTAACGTAAATATAAAACCGTTTAAATTTATGGTGTGAGGTGACTAGTCGGCCGTTAAAATCGTTTATCATTTGTACAGGGTATCGACTGCAACACTGATGATGAAATAACAACAATTTATTAACAATTAGCTAATTCACCACAGTTTTGAATAATTTCACGAATTTTAAGAATTACCTCTAAAATTTCAAACGCTGACCGGACGGGATGAATCCTGAATGACAGGGGATCTGAGTCTGACGACATCACAGACCGCACGCGGGCTTGAAGCATGATGGGCGTTACCAATGTTTATTTTTTATTTTTTATTAAACCGATACTTTTTGTTAAATTTTATCTATGCCTATACTGATTATTTCTTAAATAGGTATGTGATTTTTCAAAATAATATTCATAAAAAAAAAACACTTTAAGAGAAATCACATCTATTTAGCCATTAACAACTAATTTATAACAAACGCAAATATGAGCAAAATTAAATGAAAATGTGTGTACCAATAGGTGTAAAAATGTTTTGTATTTTACAGAAATATTATTATTTAATAGTAATTAATTATAATATAAACATAACTAACATAGCCTACACTAAAATATGTATCATATATCATTGTATCATATCATCTTGCTGTATATTTTTCTGCAGGTGAAAAGCATGAATGCACCACATTAAATGTTTCCTTTCTGCCATAGACCCCTTGCACAGACTGTGATGACAGTCATCAGCATCGTAAGTCCTGGAAAGTTATTTTTTTATAATTTTTTTTATATATTATATAAATGTAGTAATATGCTATATATATATATATATATATATATATATATATATATATATATATACACAC